TCACCTAACTCCTTGATCCTCGCTCTCCCGGTCCCCACTCTCTCTTGCAACGCTTTAAGCCTCTCCTCCTGCTCTCTAAATCCGTCAAAACCATCGAGTTGCCCGGTCACATCGTCGACCACTTCCTGGGCTTCGGTGGAGAATTCCTCAGTTAAGCCGCGGGTGAGGTGCGCGAGTTCTTTGAGGGAGGTGATGGTGCTTTGCAGGGTGGAGAGTTTTTCGAGGACTGAATAGTAGGTTGTGTCGAGGCGGCGGGTTGTGCTGTTGGAGTGGGTGTTGAGGGTGTTAAGAGCATTTCGTAATTCGCTATAGGCATTCATACATTAGCATCTCTTGTAAATTAAATCATGCCAGAATATTTCTGATCACAAGTTCTTGTAGAGCAGACAAATAGATCGGTAAATGTGAGGAAGGAAAGAAAAGATATAACAAACGTTGCTCTCAACACCCCCCTCTCCCTCTCCTCTCTCACCTCCCCCTCCCTAACAACCCTCTCCCTCCTCCCCATCCCTCCACCACCCCCATACCCACCCGCCCCATCCTCCCCCCAAAGACTCTCCCTCCGACTCGCAACCCGACTCTCACTCGGCGTATGCCCTTCACTCCTGCTCCCCAAAATGCCCGACCCAAACGCCCCAATGCCCGACCCGATCCCTACAATCCCCTGCCCAATCCCTCCACTACCATCTCCCTTGCACTCTCCATCTCTATCTTTATTCCGGTGATGTATATGCGGATGATGGTGTTTATTGCTGTGTCCGTGGCCGGCGTGCTGCGGTATCCGGGGCAAGGAAGGAGGTGCGTTGACCTCTGTTATGGAGCGGGTGGTGAGGTGTTTGGGCCTGGTTGGAGAGGTGGGCGGAAGGGGCATGGAGCTTGTTTTTATTGGTTCGAGGGGGGCGGACATTTTGGATTTTGTTGTTGGTTTGGGAGAGGTGTGAAGGAGGTTTAGTAGAGGTGTTGCGAGGTTGTGGTTGCAAAGGAACGGGAGTGAGGTAAGGCTGAGAGCTTGAAATATACAAACAGGACAAACAGCGGGCCGAGGTTCATGCGAGGGCACAGGATAAATATGGAACACCATTCAACGTCGTTACGAGATGAGGTGTTCTTTAGAAATTAGAGAGCCTTGAGCCTGTGAATCTGGAAGGACTTTGGCTTGATCGTATTTCATCCGTAGTTTTGAAAGAGTCTTGTGGTTGACTCTCAGCCCTGCGAGGCTCGAATATTGACTTCCTAAGAGCCCAATCATATCATCAAATGGCAGCTATATCTCCTTCAACGAGCTTTGAATAGTTTGACTCTGGAGAGGCATGGAACTGCAGACTTGCATCTTAGCACGTCGGAGCCAAAGCAAGTTGATATGTAAAATCCCGCACCCAACTCCAAACACCATGCCTCTCTTTTCCAACCAAAAACGCCATCCATGCCATATCAGATCAAATATGCCTCATGATTCTCCTCACCCTCAAGATTTCAGCATCTTATTCCTCTTCTCCTTCCTCTTCAGTCTCTCCACCCTCTTCCGATGCATAGTCTCAGCCAACTTCTCGAATCGAGCTTTCTCCTCCTTCTTCGCCCGCTTGTCTTTGATAGCCTGGATTTTGACCTGCGGAGCAGAACATATCAGCTTGATCCTCTCCTCCCAAACTTTCCTCCACGGGCAATAATCTCAGGTAGGTATATGATGGAGTGTAGATTCCAACGCACCTGTCTAGCAGCCTCCTTCTCATCCTTCATCTCCTTCTCCTTCGCCTTCACCGCAGCCATAGCCACGCGCTCCGCCTGCCTCTTCTCGTACGTGCCATTTCCTGCTTTGGGACGGAATGCGGTCTTTGGTTCGTGCCATTGCTTGCCTTCATAAAACGCATTAGCACTTCTTCTCTTTTGCCTTTCTGTCCTCTTCTACCCGCCAGACCCTCCACCTCCATCTCCTCAACCACTCAACAGAGACAGCTCCAACATACCATTTTTACGCATCCCCTGCAGCGCCGCCGCCGCAGCAGCTTCAATAATCTCAGTAGACATATCTGCGAATTCGGTCGAAGCTGTCGATGTAGATGCAGATATCGGAATCGAAATTTCAGCAGTGACTTTGGATTGGTCGCAAAAATTCGAGTGGAGAGATGGCGGGACAGTGATTGCCAAGACTTCTTATCTGATCGAGCGGAAGGGAAAAAGTAAAATTTTCTGTGGGCCAGGAGAAACTTGGAAGATCTGATAACTTTACCCCCTGGTGCAGCGGGCTATGACGGACGAGGGCTAAAAATATACAGATTTAGGGATCGGCTGATGACTTTGAGGAGCTGTAAAGTGCATTGAAAATCGAGAGTTGAAAATAATGGAGAAAATCAATATCAAAACTCTGTATTACTTTTTATAGCTTTCTCAAGAAATAGATATTGATTTGTGCATTTGAAATTGTTGTGTTTGCATTATTTTAGCCTCGCTTGTACCCAACCTAGACCCGACCCGCACGCAAAGCCCCGCGCCGCTGCAAGCGTTCAGTCCGCGGTGAGTGGTTTTTTGCAAGAAAAGAGACATTTTATTCGAACCAACCCAACTCAGCTTCCGGATCCTCACTCCCCCAGCAACCTACCATACACCCTTCCCCTTCTCCATTCGACTACGCGTATCTGCAGATCCCATCATACATAAAGAATTACTTTCCCGTGTCTTGACCGCCCCTCGAAATGCTCCCTCGATAGCAGTAGCCTCGCCCTATCGATAAGTGACGACAACGCACTCGCTCAACCCGACTCGAACCTTTTTCTTCTGCACTGCACGAAATCTGGCTGCAGACTTTCACTCTCTTCTCTTTTCGATGGGAGCATAGCAACAGCAAGAAGAGCTCGCATTGCCTTCTTGCTCGTTCCTTTGCAATACCAACGTCACATTGGGGTCCATTCTTACTCGCACCAACCAACGGTGTACCACAAAGCGAATACAAACAACGGGATTGCTTACACCTGCCAACACGCATATATTGTTGTAGTAGCAGAGGATACAGCGGGAAGTGAATAAATACGGGGAATTGCATTGTGCAGTTCGTAAAGTAGTCACAAAAAGCAACGGTCCTCTTCGTCAACCCCGCCACCGATCACGGAAGGTCCACAGCGAGAAGGGAATACAGCCTAAGATTAAGATGGCAGCCACAGCTACACCAGAGTTCAGCTCACCGGAGCGGTCTCCAGCATTCTCAGTAAAGGGGAAAGAAGCTCTCATGGACGCCGTGGAAGATATTGTGTTTGGTTCTGTTGGTCTTCCTCAAACTCCTCGCATCAGCACTTACTAACTGTTCTACCCCACCAGATCGCCGGCGTAGCAGGAAAGTACATTGAGTACCCCTTCGACACAGTCAAAGTCCGCCTACAATCGCAACCCGACCACCTTCCCCTCCGTTACACTGGTCCACTCGACTGCTTCAAGCAATCGCTCCGCAATGATGGCTTCCTCGGTCTCTACCGCGGCATATCCGCCCCCCTCGTTGGCGCAGCCCTCGAAACATCCTCCCTCTTCTTTTGGGAACGCGTAGCTCGCGAAGGCTTTTTCACAGCTGGTCTCTACCAGCGCGAGAAACCTCTTCCTCTCTCCGCACTCTGGCTTACTGGTGCTATATCCGGCGCATTCACAAGTCTCGTACTCACACCTGTCGAGCTCGTAAAATGCAAGATCCAAGTCCCTACCAAAGCAAGCTCAGACGGTATGGTCCACCGCTCTCCCACACCACTAGCTGTCATCCGCGAAGTCTTCAGACATCAAGGCCTCCGCGGATTCTGGAATGGGCAGCTAGGAACGCTCATCCGCGAGACTGGTGGCTGCGCGGCTTGGTTCGGCAGTAAAGAGACTGTAACTCTCCTCTTCCGCCATCTCAACTCCAGCAACACAGCAGCCTCCTCTCCACCCTCAACACTCAAACACCAAAACCTCCCCACAACCTCGGAAGACGGTCTCGCTCCCCTTCCGCTTTGGCAACAAGCCGTAGCTGGCGCCTCAGCAGGAATGTCTTACAACTTCCTCTTCTTCCCAGCAGATACCATTAAGTCGCGTATGCAGACTGTCTCAGTATCGAGCACGGCTCCGCAGGTCAAGTTCTGGGATGAGGGGCTGGCGATCTGGAGACAGTATGGTTTGAAAGGGTTGTACAGAGGGTGCGGCATTACGGTTGCGAGGAGTGCACCGAGTAGTGCGTTTATCTTCATTATTTTCGACGCGTTGAAAGGGAGGTTCCATATGTCATGACGATCTATCGGGTTGGTGGAGCATGAATGATGAAAATGGATACCTGGTGGGCATTTTGAAATTTGCATTTGAGCGAGCGCGTCATATCATAGACGGTTTGGTGGAGATGTGGATGGTTGCGTGTTCTGGTCATTCCATTTGTGCCTATGCCTTAGACAAGGCATTTTAAAAAGCGCCACGATGCGATGCAATGTTTGGCGTTTCTAGAGGGATCAGGTTTTGAATTGATAATAAACTAAGGACAGGCTTGGATACAACAAGCGAGCAGGGAAGACGAAAAGCAAAGACTCAGTTGGATATACAGAGAGCCAAAGATATAAATGCAATGATTTCGAATACCCAACGAAGCATACAATCAGACCAACGAAAGAAGTAGAACGTTTCTCAGGTGTAGAATCTGAAATGATAAAATAATATACTCTTGCTCTTGCTCACGTCATCTCCCGCAAGAATTCCTACCTAACATCCTCTATATCATATCCTAACAAGCCTCAAGAATCTCGAAACGCAAGTAGACTACTCACTTTATTGACTTCGCTTAACACAAATACACCCTTCCAGGTTTTGCAATTCCCCTCCAAGTCAACAATCGTGACCCACAAATCGATCCACCCATCCTCCCCCTGGACGAAAACTTTTTCATAAGCGAGCGAGAGTCCTTCTTTCCCTGGCAAATTTCTTTCTCAGTGGAAGGTGATGTATGTAGCCAAATAAGAAGAAATCGTCCATATCAGCAGACAAAGACACATGTATGCATGACAAGCAATTTGGCGCAGAGGAAGCGCGCGGGGCTCATAACCCTGAGGTCCCTGGATCGAAACCAGGAATTGCTAAGATGTGATGTGCGTTTGTGTTTTTCAGTGCTTCAATTTTTGGCTTTTTTTGGGTTCTTGGGGTTTTTGGGTTTAGGGAAAAATTGAAGTTCTTCAAGGTGCTGCCAGCTGAAATTCGTTCAGGACCATTGAGAGCATATGGAATCAGTGGCCGTTTTAGTCTCCTCGCTGAATTCGATAATTTTTGCTTGCCGGTTTCTTGCCGTTCATTTTTTTGAGTAAGTGAGTGACACAACCGCTGTATTTAGTGGGGTCATAGTGGCGAGGTGCCTGAGATTCATGGAAAACGCACTGGAAATACAGCGACCGGACTCCTCTGGGGTTAAGCGAGGTCGCCCTGCGACATCACAACAAAACATCGCCTCCCAATTTACCATCCACACTGTCTCAACTCCCTTCTGCTCATTTAATGCGAGATCACGAGTTGGAACAAGATTAAAGAGCTGTATGTGACTCTCATTTTCGTTTTGAAAGCTTTAAAGATGCAATTTATTTGGTCGATTCTCGGGCTTCCGAAAAGACCGAAACTCATGCCAGGCTTGTGGTTCGCTTTGTAAACAAGCCATAGGTAAGCACATAAAAGACCATGAATCGGTTATGAGTTTGAGCGTCTGCATCCTCAACTAAATGCTCTCGACCTTCTGATTTTTTGATACATCATCGCGGAAATACTGATCTTTAATCATTGCCGAGAGAAAATTTTCCCGACTAAGATTCACGGTTCGACATCCTCATTCTAGACATTTCCTGTCCTTCTCAGTTTTGATTTTATGATTCTCGCCCAAGAGTCTGAAGTCGCGCTTTGAATTGAAGGCTCATATTCGCTAGTCACAATGTCATCCTTCTCACCAATCCCCTCCTACATCCTCGGCACTCTCTTCACCCTTTCCGGAATCATCTCCTTCATCTCCCCTTCAACAGAATACAAAACCTTCGGCTTCCCCATCCCATCATCATCCCCATCCCCCTCATCAACTATCTCCAACTCCTCATCACCACCAAGCCACCCCCAAATCTCACCCTACGTCTACGCCAAAGGCATCCGAGATCTCACCTACGGCCTCACATTCTTCATCTTTCAGCTCCAAGGCCAAGACTCGGTAATCACTGCTTTTACGGGTATAGTATGTATTGCGGGTTTCGTAGATGGGGTCCTGGTGTGGACGTTTGGTGGGGGTTGGAAGGGGAAGGCGGTGGAGCATTGGGGGGCGGTTGCTGTGCTTGGGAGTTGGGGGTTGTGGAGGACGGTGGGATAGGGATAGAGAAGATGGGTCTGTGTTGGTGAGATGATGTCAGAGCGAGGTAGCATGGTAATGTGATCTTATGTTGTTTCTGAACGAAGAAATAACATGAGTTGAAAAACGATGAACGAGAGAAATCGTAGACGCATAGCGCTAGAGGCTTTCAATAGTGAACAGCTGGATATGAGTTTGGTCAAGGTGTTACCATTTCCTGCTGCATTTTCAACATAAAATCTGAGGAGCCAAAGTGATTGACATCTTACAAACATAGCGTCCCAACACCAAGGAGGACGGTTCCCTCGTAGACATCTACTTCCCATCAAGGTACAACTCATCAACCTCAACATCCTCTTTCCCTTGTCCTCTTAGGATTCACGAACCCCACTCCACACAGTCTTAAGAAATCCAAACCGAGTGGTAACCCAAGACCAAGCAAGTCAACACAACAGCTCTGCCTTCCCTCAAATCATTCAATCAACCCAACCCCTTACCGCCGACATGAAAGTTATCTCATCCTCTTCCCAGCCATAGCCATCATAATAACACACGTGATATTCGCAGCATACCAAAACACCGTTCTAATCAAAGCCAAATGCTCATTCTCTATCAGAATATACGCAAGCCCATAACCAATCCTCGCCACAGAGTACACAACCATCAACCCATTAAGCTTCTCCGTAGGAACACCCGCGTGGAGAGCAAGAAGCTATCACAACCATCAGCCTTCTTTCTCCAAACAACCACCATCCCTTCCCACACCCCAAATCAAAATAAAATCGACAAAACGCAAACGATACGCAGGAGCAGGAACAAGTAACTCACCACACCCCCCACAAAAACCGCAAACCCCTCCACCGAGTTCGCATGCGCGTTCTCCATCCTCCTAACCCTCTCCAGCGCCGCCCTACTCATCTTCCCATCCCGCACCATCTTCTCGCCATAGCGCTCTACGTCCTGGCGCGGACACGCGTTGTGGTCGAAGCCGTAGTAGCGCTTGACGAAGCGTGTGGAGAGGAGGCCGTACGCGAAGATGAAGTTGAAGATTAGGAAGCGGCAGGCGTACGAGGGGATTCGGGAGTGGGAGAGGGTTGTGTGGGAGGGGGGAAGGGGGGAGAGACCGAGGTTTGTGAGAAGGGTCCTGTGGGTGGGTGAGTGGGTGAATGAGTTTGTGGGTACAGGTTAGAGTTCAGGGTTTGGGAATAGGGATGGGGAGGGAAGGCAGGGATGGCGGGGCAAATACATTTTGAATTTAGGAACCTGAGAAAGGTAGATTTGTGATGAGAAATCAACAGAAAATATGAAAGATGTTACTACTCAAGGGGTTGCAAAGGAAGGGATGTTTCAACAGTAACAAGGAAATATTCAATTGTTGCGAGGGCCAAGCGAGAACCGAAAGAGACATTTGATGTTTGAAGATCATGACGTGAAGTCCAACCGTCCTGCATTAGCCTCGGCATCGAGAAAATAGACTTTAGTAGCCTCGCATTATAGCCTTGTTCATTCCACTAGGAACTCAGCCTCGGCGTACTTTTGTTTGCACTAGGAAATGATGAGAATGAGAATGTGACAAGAGCTACTAGTCGGTCCACCTTCTGTGGCTCGGGGCTCGCTTACAGTCGGGGAAAGCAAATGTCACAGGAAAGCAAAAGTGTCACAGCTCGGGTTAACATCGGCGATTTATTTTTAGTGTAAACCCCACCAAAACCAAGTCGCCGGCAACAATTATTCAAATGCAAAACTCCATATCAAATCCCTAATTTTACATAGTCGGTTCCTGTAATAAATGAGTCCTCCTTATCCTCTTCTCCAGAGCTTTCGGCGTATTCTGAGCCTACCGGCGAAGAATCGACGTACTCAGCGTATTGAGTACAAGCCTTCTCTCCACTTGATTGCGTATATATCTCTACTTCTTCGTCGTTATCAAGCTCCACTTGATATTGCAATTTAGACGCCAATAGGCCTGGGTGACCCTCTTCAGTTAGAAGTACAGCCTCTACAGCGTTGGGCTTTTTATCTGGTTCTCTCTCTCGTATCAAAAGCTCAGAATCAGGTGGAATAACCTCTCCTGCACGAACTAGTTCCTGTATCCTTTGCTTTCTTACCTTATTAATCTTCCTAGCCGCAACTCCCGCTACTCTTAGAGACTCCTTGTGTTTTCCAATAGCCTGGGAAAGTAGTCTCGTAGCTCTCTTAAGCTCTTCCATTCGTTCAGCTTCTGCCTTTGCAGAGATCTGTACTCGTAACTCAGTAACTGTAGGTGCAGAACCTCCACCATTACTCTTAATTGTACGCCGAGAAGTCTTCTTCCGTCTAGCACTTTCCTGTAGCTTTTGTTGCAAGAGAGCGTGCTCTGTAGTCGTCAAATAAGCCTTCTGGAGTTGTACCGCCGTCTCCTTCATTGCCTCTTTAAAGACCTCCACGGTATTATCAGAGAATGTCGTCGGATCTCTACCAATAAACGACTCAATTGCTGCTTTCGTCTTCCAAACCTTTTCAGAGGCAGTGTTTGAAGGAAGCTCAGGCTCCGTAGAAAGGTTTCCTTTGCTGAAAGACCGTACTCTCGTGAGGCCGGTTTTACAGCTTAACGGCCAGATTCCGGACTCTTTGAAAGCGTTGCAAATAGTATGGGAAACTAGCGTTTCTTCTCTGATCCGGGACAGGTCTCTAAAGAAAGACGTGATTGTATATTCAAGATCTAAGCTACGCAACGCCGAATTAACGGCAAGAGAGTGGTAGTGTTTCCATGGTCTAAATATGCCGACATCTAGAGGTTGGAGAGCATGCGTTAGGTGGCTTGGAAAGTACCAAGGAAGAATATGATTCTCTTTTAAGAGCAGTTGAAAGGGCAAAAAGAAGTGAGATTCGTGGCCGTCTAAGAGCAAGAGCTTCCACGGCTTATTTGGACCGGCATGCGAGTACTTGATCAAGTGATAGCCATATTTCATGATTACGTCGTTATTGACGTAGCCACTTGAAGAACAGACGATTGTCTCTTCACCCGTGAGGTTTGGAGACACCCAATTTTGCATGATATGTTCTCCAGGACAGATTATAAAAGGTGGCAAAGGTTTCTGGCCATCTCCACGTACAGTTTCCGTGACCGTAACGGTTTTACGGCTTCCCTGAGTTGCAGTATATAGCTCCGTAACAGCTACAGGTACAACGACCTTCTCTGCGGAGGGGCAACCAACTCGTACACCTGATTCGTCCATATTCAAGACCTTCTTTCCTGAATTAATATGTAGCCTCCGCATCTCTTTCCCTAGAGCCTCGAACCAAGCCTTAATCTCTTCTTCAGTATGCGATTCTAGACGTATAACCTCCATAGGCTTCGTCTTCAGCGTGTGGAGTTGTACGTTCTTATTCAACCAAGTTGTGTACCACCGATCGGAGGGAGCTGATTTTGGAGGATTCTGAGACTGTATAATATCAGCAGAGGTTCACGGAAGTAAGGAGAGGCTCTTACTGCCAAAAGATGAGTAATTGCTGATTTAACCATTGCATGCGTAGCTCCAAGACCTAACTCCCATTGCTCGTGGCAATATTGAATAATCGCCGTCTCTTGCACCGGCGATAACACCTTATTATGGCCACCACTTCCTGGCGAATCTGCGGTCCTTATACCTCCCTGAGCCTTCTTCCTCCTTGCCCTACAGATGGATTGACGTAAAGTAGACTCAGAAACACCATATATTCGCGCCGCAGTCTTCGACGATTCCGTTGAGTGCTCAAGAGCCCATTTCCGAGCCTCTGCGAAGG